CAACACCATCCAATTTTTAGCAGCTCACTTGTGCAGCTCCAAACCAGAAGCTAGAACAGGGGGGCATCCACCTCCTTATTCTAGCACAGACCTAAGCTGAAAGTAACAATGTGAGCACAGTTTAAGAAAAGCTACTTCACAAGATAAAGGTTTCTGTTCCCTGCCACATTCCTGATATGCATCAAGAAATACAAGGGTTATATGCCAATCCTGCAATTGATCCACACAGGGGAATTAAGAGCTGGCATAAAAACCAGTGTATTTGTTTTTAGCAGTGCTTTTACAGCCACCATCATTAAACAGTCAAGAAAAAAAGGGGCATGAAACAGAAGAACTAACAACCTTGTGACAATTTATGGATATAAAATTATTCTTCGAAGTTACCACAAAAATTACGCATAAGCTGCCTTCTTCTTGGAAGCATTTTATATCACTGAATTCCAATTTGACTAATGCTTTAATTAAGACTTGTACAATAATATTCACTCAGACTAGTCTAAAAAACCAGCAATGCTATCCAGACATAGAAGACTTCTTCCAATTCAGTGTGATTTGGCACTCTGTGGAGGTTGAGCAATCTGTAATTAAACGAAATGAGACTTGTATGGGAATACCAGGAACATAAAGGCTATCTTACAGCATGAGAATTATTTGCCAGAGAACATTATCCTTTTAGTGCTTTTTTATCATTAAGATGTAAAATTTAATTAAAGCAAAGCGACAGACTTTGCTTGTGTTACATTCACTTGTTAGCTGTATAGCTCACCTTTGGACCATTCATTAGGATGCAACTTAATTTAGTCATTAGTATACAACATTTATCTTTTTTTCTTTTTTTTTAAATTGCTGCTCTGCTTAATTTCCCCCACTGCTTCAGTCCCCAGCTAAAGCTTTAAAGACAGCAAGGACAGCAAGTAATAAGGTAGCATTTTGAAGCAGGCAGGATCCAGTGCAGGAAGAAGCATTGCTCTCCCATGAAAATATTTCACAGAAATAGTGACACAGCTTCAGCTTTGAAAAATATTCTCCAAATTCTCATGTTTTCCTATAAATCTCCTTCCAATAATATCAATAATACCTAGTCAAGATTTCAAAAGCGTGCTCTCTCTCCAATATGAAAGACCTGTAGCTAAAAGTTGCTTCACTGATACTCTTGGAAACTTTCCCACTGCTTGCCTGGTTATCACATTATTTTTCCCCAGTTAAACTGTATCCCACTTTCATAAGATAAAACATACCCCTCACTGCATTATTTTACACTTCCCATTCCACCTCCTTCTCAAGTGTATGACTCCTAAAAAATAGCTAGAAATTTCTGCCTCTCTTTCTTCCTGTGAGAAAGATGAGTTTAAGCTGTAGAAGAAGCTGGGATCAAACACTCCAACTTCCCAGATGCAGAAACATGCCTGTTCCCAGAGACAGAGCTTGGATTCTGTTCAAACTCCAGAAGTTTAAAACATGAATATCTATCTGCCTGTTCATGACAGCACTATGAGAGACAGACAAGTTGTAGTTATCACTTACTACAGCCCTCAAAGTATGGGGAGATGAGGGAAGAGACAGATACAGTGCTGTTGCCAGTAGAATAACAAATCACATCATGACAGTCCTATCAATCGTGGGGCTATTTTAACAAAATCCAAAACCACAGAATTTTGTCAAGTCCTCAATTATGCAAAAGGAAGTCAAACATCTACCCTTCTCTGTGTCATTACTGACCTTCTTATGTAATTCCAGTCCCTAACCCCAACACAAAAAGACCCAGTAAGGTGGCTAAAATAGCAGCATGCTTTTTTATGTAAATTTAAATAAAGAGCATGTTTCCATTCCCATTCTAATAATTATTATACTAAAGTACCTTCACCTACAATGGAAAAAAAAAAAAAGTCACAAAGAAATGTATCAGTTTTCGCCTCCCTTACCTCCTGCCAGGCAGTGGTTGTGAAGACACTTTAAGAAGAAAAAAAAGAAGTTACAGAAATGCTATTTTTTTCTAGTTTCAGGAATCTCTGTGAAGCACCACTCCTTTGTAACCAATATCTGATCTCCAAAGTCTAATCATTGTAGCACTAAGGCTTTTGATTACTTACTTTTACAGACAAAAGCAGAGAGAAGCTTTAAAACCCGTGTGTAGGTGACACCCAAGTTAGCACTATACGTAATGCTAAAGTCAGGGAAAATCTGCCTCTGATAATACTCTAACCATGAGAAGATAGAAGGAGAAAAATGAAAAAAAGTGTATTGAAAAATGAGACAAATCTTGTCAAAAGAAAGGTAAGGAACAGGTAAGCACAGCATTGCTTCTTATCTAAAAGTGTATTGTACTTGAAGCAGAGTCATCAGTGGTCTCATCTGAAGCATATAAATTCCCAACATCCTATTTTCTGGACTGTTAAACTTAAAAATACAAAAGATATAAGATTTCTATTTGCTCTGTGACTTACAAAAGTGGAGAATTAAGAGGGCTTCACTAACAAAAACGTCAACTGAAAAGTGACCTGGTCTGATTTTAGATGTAGACTTGTAACACAGAACTAAGAAATGTACTATAGTTTTCTTCAGCATTTCTATTTTATACTAAATGGACCCAAGCCAATTAAAATTTATGACTGGGTCTACCAAACAAAATGAATCTATACTCTAGCATCCTCTGTCAAGTTTCTGCAAGAAAAATGCACGAACCCTTCTCTTGTGGTATGAAATGTATGCCCATCACCTCTCAGTCAAGGAACTCCTTCTATGTTCTTGTGTGCTGAGCCCAGGAACCAGAAGCGATACATGGCAGCGGTACGTCACTAGGCAAGAGTAACAAGAACAAGTCTAGAGAGATGCTCCCCATGCTCAGCCCTTCCTGTTTCTAAAAGTTGCATGTTAGATGATCTGGGTCAGACGCCATCTTTGTATTTAATAGCCTCCCATTCAATTAGTCAAGACTTTCTAATAATATTTTGCTTTTCAAATACTTGTCAAATCTAGATACACTTTTGGCACCCAAAGCATCCCAGTTTTCATTCATCTCCTTTTATTTTGAACCTGTTTTCAGCTCATTTTCTTTGAGGTTCCCCTGTACTGATATGAACAGCTAGAAAATACTTCCTATTCAGCAACACCACTTATTAATGCTGTAATTCCCAGATTTGCCCTTTCCTTCCCATCATCAGAAAAAGACTACAATGTAGTCAAATTTTGTCACACAGAGTTCATTCTGTACAGAAGAATAACAAAAGTAATGAGAAGTACTTTCCCTCGCTCCAATATTTCTGTTTCAGAAATGGAAGGGGAGTGATGAAAGTATTCAAGATCAGTATTTCACAGAATGAGAGCACTCTAAGTATTCTCCCTTTTGTTCTCGGCTCCTTTCCTGGTAATTCCTAAAATTCTATTCCTTTTTTTGGACCATTACTAATTGCTGGACATTTTCATTATTATAACACCAGGACTTTTCTTTTGACATATAATTAATTCAGAGCCTATCGAAATTTGTAGATCCTACTACTGCAGAAGCTCAATACGGAGACACAGTATGAAAAATTCTGAACATAAATTACTTCTAAGTGCAACAGTTTTTACCAAAGGATGAAAAATGTTCCAAACTTCACTTACACAAAGATCAGCTTCAATTCAATTACTGCCACTCTGGAATGAGGTTTTGGTATTAGAACAGACACTTCTACAGAATTATTTATCAAGAGCAGGCAAAAGGAGAAAAACAAATCCAGTATTAAAAAATATTACCAAATTAATAGGGAGTAGAAGAATCAATTTTCCATTCTCTGATATCATATATACTCAAACCAATTCTATTAACTTGTCCCAATACATTGTACAATGCCAAATATTTAAATGGGTTCAAGAAGTGACTAGAAAACTTATTTAGGCAATTGAGTATAAAAAGTTACCATCTCTAGCACAGAAAGTCCCTGAGCTGCAAACCAACAGCAACTGTGTGAGTATTCTGAGTCACACCTTTCGGAATAGGACTGGGCTACAGCTACAGAAAACCCATTTATTTTAGTTGTCATTCATTAGAACTGAAAGAGTACTGAAACACTGAAGTTACTTATTCTCCTTCAAAAAGGGTTTTAATTATACCGTAATTGCTTCCTGACAAGTCCACATCACTCGAAGAAAAAAAATTGGTTTTATTTAACTTCACACATTTCAGTGAATGACAGTCTCCTCAAAATATCATCCATCTTTTCAAAGTCCAACTTTCAAAGTCACTCAGGATCATGACTCCGACTGCAGCTAACATAAGACTGAGGTTCTCAACACCATGGGGCAGGGAGGAATCCTTTCTGCTGGCAGTTATATGCAAGTTTTTTAATATAGCAAGAAATTAGTCATGAGGACAGCCATCTTTTTCATTCTTGTAAAGACATCAATAGAAGTGCTTAAAAGACTGAAGATAATAGCAGGAGTAGTTGTTTGGTTTTTTTTACTTAGTATTAACACCAAAAGCATACATAAAATCAATACAATAATCATTTATTTCTAACAGAGTTGGTTGGTTGTTTTTAATACCTCCCACTTTCAAGTGTGTTCCAATTTAAACAGATTCACATCATTTCTATTTGGAAACAAGAGACACCCTCAACACACCATTCTACTGTAAAGTCCAGTATTTGTAAAGTCCAGATGTTTTTTCACCTGTCCAAAATATTTATCTGGTTGAGGACAAAAATTCTGACATCACTTCCAAAGAGACAGACATAATATAAAACTTCATACGATGACCTCTTTCAGATTTGATAAAGTGAAAGACTGATCACTGCTAACATCTACCTGAAGCTTCTATTATAAGAGCCATTATATCTTATAAAATGAAATTGACTTAGGTCTGCTCCAGTTAGTGAGGAATGACAACTTGTTGCTTTTATTCATATACCTCTGAACACCAGCCCACTAACTACAGCAGCCAGTCTATCAACCCAGACCATGCCAATCTTTATCTACACCACTTAAAACATAATAGTTACTTCTCCCTCTTAATTATTTACCTTAGAATTACCTTCCTTGTGATGTTTGGCACAGGATCGAAGCTGAGTTATCCAGTATTGTTTCTCCTTTGCATCAGCAGCTAGAACAGAAACAAGAAAATGCAGGGAATCACACATAAACTGATGTTCTTTTTTTGCACAAGAGAATGGGACAGGGTCAGGGCGGGGAGGAGGGAGGTTATTTATTGCTTAGGATGCATTATAAATTCTAATTTACTCTACTTAAATTAAGAATATGTAAATTCTTTAGTACAAAACATCTAAACCTCAACTTAAGTTGCTGTGGCCAGCTGGAAGAGATAAGCTCAAGAGTCATCTTCACAGTTATCACCTCCAAGTGCCATTAAAAGCAGAATTATCTCAAGATGAAGTTTTTTTATTATTATTATTATTTTTAATCCACTTTTGCTTTACTTATCTCTCTGTGAAGGACAAGGGCCACACCACAGCATTTAAATCAGTGAAACCTCTACACTCAGCTGTCAATCAGCAAGCAGACAAACTACCAGCTCCCCAGATACTTTAGTACTTTTGTGTGTCATTCACATGCAACTTTAAGACATAGGAATGAAAATCCCAATTTCCCCCCGACATCTTTGAAAAACAGCTTTAAAAATTATTGAAAAGATTGTTTGCAGTCTGTATCAGGTGGCTCCTGTGTGATATTAATAAGCATAATTAGGAGAGAGGTTTGGTTGTGTTTTTTATTTTTAAACAAAACCAATACAGACTGGATAATTTCAGTAAATATTTTCTCTTACTTCCTCTGCTGTTAAGTATCTCAATGGTTATTGACTCAGCACAAAAATTATTTACTACTTTGAATCAAATTCATAGATCTCATTAAATAAAAAGCAGCATATTGTAAGTAGTTTATAATTGCTAGTGATTGGAAAAGCCTGATAATGAAACCACAAGTGTTCTAGCTCTGCAAATTCCAAAACTTTTTAACAGAAACTCTCCCTGGTTGTTCTTCTGTTTCGGTTCTACACACAGAACAGCACCACACCGTACCACAGGGGAGTCCTGCGTACTCTGCCCTGCTAGCCAAATGAGAAATTCTGGTCAGAAAAACTAATGTACTTCTAAATTGTTATTACACTGTCTTACATGTCAATTCTTTTTTTTTTAATCAGTTTATTTTTTTATAAACTAGTTTGATATGAAAGTATCCTGATCTATCAGCCATACTGAAAATACCATAGACACAGAATACTGCTTTTAAAAAAAAAATATTCCAAATTAACTCTTACATAGTCTATATTGTCTGTCTTACATTTGGGAGCAAGGCAAGGCAAAATTTTATTTTAAAGGTGCATTCAGTTATTCCAAGACTGACAAGAACAGAGTATCTTAAGAGCCTTCTACTGGCATTTTTCCCTTTTCCGACCCATCAGCACATTCATTACTGCACATTATCTGCAGGGTGGCAGAGAGGAGAACGATATTCCAAGCGAGATGCTATGCTGTGGACAGCAATGACAGCAGTTTTTTTCTTCCTTCAGAAGCAAACAAGATACACAGTACAATCAAAATGCCACACTAACAGCTTATAGAAGGCATCTTGATGTATCCTCCAGCACTGAGAGTCTATATATTGTAAATTCACACGTATTTAACTCCAGATTACTGTTCCACTGCGTTTAATAATATAGTATGTAACAATATAGCTGTATAACCACTACTTTCTGACAGTACAGGGAAGTAAAAGAGACATGAGATACGACAGAAGAGATGCAGAAGAGGGAATGGGAGAGAAGAATGACTCAGCTGGCAGTGAAGCAGCACTGTACCTCTCAGCTTATACATCTCTCCATTAGCAGAGTAGACCACCAGCATGTGCGGCACCTCATCGCTGGGTGATATTATAGCTCCAGCCAAGGACAAGGTTCCTCGGGGCTTCTGGTTTTTACTTTGTTCATTCACGAAATACTGCAGAATCCCTGTCTCGAAGTCCAGCACAAAGTACCTGTTCAAAGAAATTGTAATCATATAGCATTTCTGTTAGGGTTTTTCATGCATTTACTCAAAGAGCAGCACAGGTTGATCTTACATCAAGATCACAGATAAACAAATGTCATTAAATTTGTTTTTGTAATAACTCAATTTTATAAGATACTATTTTGATCATTAGGTTTGGTTTTTCAAGGGCATGTGTGAGCTATTCTTTTACTCATATTTCTTTCAGATTAATGGTGAGGTTCACATGACATAAAAGCAAGGAAAGGAGCTTTTAACTGAAGAGGTTCCACTGAAGAAGTATGTGACTGCTGCTTTGTTGGCCCCCCTCCTTTTTTTCTTTTTCCCATTTATAACCTTGAAAGACATGCTAATTCCCCATAACTAGCCTTTTGGTAACACACTTTTTACAGAGGAATGACCACAGTTAAATATACCATGGTGTTTTCATCTTTGTGATAATATTTTACATTCAGATGTGGAGTGTAATTTTGAAAACTAGCCAATGGAATTGAGCATTCAGTTCCCAGTAAGTACTAGGTAGGAAGTATGAACACCTGTGTATAAGAACACAATTAGGAGGAGAGAGAAGTCTAAAGCTATTTGGCCATTCTGCTAACGAATTCTAACAACAAAAGAACATTTTTACTGCTGATCATATATTTAGGATCAGGAAATACTCAGCCAGTGAAAATCCAGTAACCACAAAGATTATTTAAAAAAAATAAAATAAAAACCCGCAATTTTGATGAATGCAAGCCATTGCACAATAAACTAACAGCCAGGACTGCAAGATCATACCAACAAAAATAAAATAATTGAATTGTCCAAGTGCACTAAATGAAAGTGAAGAAGTTTCAAACTTAGTGGATCAGCCTCGAGAGTTGGAAACGTATTTTTTTCCCCCAAAATAAACCTGTCTTTCACAACAGCAGATCTTAAACTCCATTTCCCTGTAGAAATCATCTAAGCTATTACACAGAACAACTATTTAACACTTTCACTCGTTGGCAAGAGGGGATGGACAGTAACCTCCTGGCTCACATGAAGGAGAGTTTGCTCTCACTCACGACAGACCAGAGTGAAGATCACACAAATGCAGGTCACCCCTCAGCTTCTCCTAAAAACACAGCCCTAACAAACTGGCTGATACCACTAATATGGGCATTTGGGATGCCTACTATTTGCTACTGCTCCCCTAGATAGCAGTAGCATAGGACATACGAATTTGTGTACAATATTTCAGAAACTGATCATTCAGACTTCTACAGCTTTGTACACACCCCAAATTTGCTCAAGTCACTACTTTGTTTTGAAAGAGGCATTTTGTCTTAGCCTTTTTTCAATATCCCCATATGTATAACACCTCTAACCTTTCCCACAGCGGAGTATTTCCAGGATTGTCTTCAGAGCCTGTTGAGTTATTGGTGGTTTTGTGCTCATCTCTTTTTTTTTCAAGCTAAATAAGCCTGGACTCAATGCAAGCAATCATTGCCTAAGATTTACAGAGCTTCAGGTGTTTTGCTTGGGCAGCCTTCCTTTGCCACATCTATGCCTAACTCCCTACTGCCACCGCCTCCGCACCAGAACAAAGATCAAACTCTCTTTAAAATATTACAGACTAAAACCACCTGCCCCAAACAATTTTAAGTCAATGCATTACTACACCCCTTACTTCTGCCCTGATTCCATCTCCCACATCTCCCACAAACACCTCTCCATCCCTTCCCCCATGAAACAAACAGAAAGCCTTCCCCTTCTAATACCAAACACACCTTCACCTTCCCTTTAAAGTTTATCTTCACCACAAAAAGGACTAGAGAAATGGCGAGCTGAATGCCAACCACCACAGTCTTTTCAATAGTAGTGTTAAAAATAAAGAAGCCCTAAATGGAAATTGCCAAATTTTCAGAAGATTACCTTAATGACTAAATTACACCAATCCACAACCTTCTTGTTTTGTTTGACTTTGAAATGATTTTACAATACTGCTCTCCTACTTGCAAAACATTTTTTCTCTTCAGGTTGCTTAGCAGAGAAAGGTAACGCACTTAACCGCAGGTAAAAACAACAGAATTGGAAAACACGCTATAAAAAAAAAAAAAGTCAGACTTGCACATTTAACAGTAAATTTGAATTTCACTCATTCTCAGTTTTCCTTGTCCATTTTAGGAATCTCTCTTACATATTCATGAGAAAAAGCAGAGCAGTAGACAGAAGTGATGCCATGCCCCTGAAAAAATGATAGAGTAGCTTGACCCCAGAGCTAGTGCTTCTCTCCAACTGACAAGTTTTTCAGCAATCTCTTTGGGTTTAGCAAACAAGTCTAGGCTTTATATGCAGCCGTGTCCATTCTGAGCCTGTGCCACGCTCATTAAAATTTCATTGTCTCCTTTTATTGTTCAGGTACAAATCATTTATTTCAGCCTTTGTTTTCAGGCCATCTTTTATCGATTAGTACCTTGGAAGTCATCATTGTGGTTATTGCAGTACAGGTCTATAATTAACAAAAGGAGGAACAAGAGTTAAAATTAAAAAAAAAAAAAGGAAAAGAAAAATAAGGGGAAAGAAAAATCATCTTTCCTTCTCCTATCAAGGCCAAAGCATTTGGGGAAAAAAGTTCCTCTGAGTCTATTAGAACAGAATCTATTAAGTTACATAAATACCATGAGCACTTCAACTCACAAACCTTTGCACGCCAGACCAGCAAAGCACTCCCAGAATGACTGTAAGCTCCACAAAGATGGACTCTGTATTGCCATAAAGCTACCCCAGGGACAGAAACCAGCCATTTGAGTACAGAATACCTTTACCAGAAAAATGACATCCAAGGGCAATGACCTCTGCAAATCCACATGTGCAGAGAGAGCATCCTTCCACACCCTTATTATCACAGCTACAGCAGCAGTAGGAACTTGCCCTTCCAGCCAACCATAACCTATTTTATATACAGTCTGAGAAAAACCAAACATTTTCATTGGCCTTGTACCTTCAGCTTTCAGTATTTGTAATGATGTCTTAGGTGCCTGTAAAAGCATGCAATAAGTTTCCAGTACAACTCAAGAAGTAATAATCTTAAGAAAGAAAAAAAGTAACCAGTTCTTACGGGCCTTCCATCACCCTTTTTTAAGTATCCTGCCTTCTTTCCTGTCCCAGATATCAGTATCTATGTCTGCCAACTCTGAAAGTCGTAGGAGAAAAGAAAATTATCTACAGAAACATAAGTCCCAACTGCCCAATAAAAACTGGCCGTGTCAACAAAATATCTTTCGTGTGACTCTGGAAAGCTCAGTAACTTTTCATAGGCATCCTGACCATGACACTGTTCATATCACGGGGAACCAAATATTCGCTTTTCAAGAGTTATGGGTTGATGCCCAACTCCCCTCCTCACCTTTCACACAGTGTTATCACTGAAAAAGACAGACAGGAGTAAACTGCACAGACAACTAGAGTCTCACAAGAGCAGCAGGGGGATAATGCACTTTGAAAACTGTTAAAAGGCTAGGAAAAGCCAGGAGAAGGAATAAGGAATTAAATGTCAAGTCAAGCAGCGCAAGACTTCATACAAAGGAGGGGGGAGAAGAACAGAAAGAGACTGAAAAAGCAGAAGCAGCTTTCAAAAACACTTTTTTTCCATCACAGACCCAGTGATGACCCAGTTCAGACCATCACAAAAACACAGAAGAAACAGAGACCAGATTCTTTCATTAACAGAGGATGGAAAAGTATTATATATATATATAAAGCAGAACAGAAGTCAGAGAATGGTATGTGTCCCATTTTAGAAGCCCCATGTAACTGTATCAAAAGGACAGGGATATCTTTTAACTTGGGTTCCAAAAGTCGTTTGTTCTACACACCAGGGAAATAACAGCACTAACCTCTCCAGAACTGATTAATCTTGCCACCTTATCCTGGATTTCTCTACTCCCCTTGCTCACAGAGCACACATTTACCCATCATGTCATACTTGTGTAATTAATTTACAGATTAACGTTGACGAAAACTAACATACACTTCAGAGAACAGACAGGTAGGAGGCAGCAGAGTCAAGTTATGTCACACCAAGCAGACAAACAATTCCTGCTATACAGAAATGATGAAATAGCTGTTACTGACAGACACTTCCAAAAGACATCTAAATTTTTCTGTTATTCCAAAATTGGATAAAATCATAAAAATTTTTTTTAAAACTAATATTCAGTAAAAGAGTCCATCTAATGGTAAACCAGAAAATTACTGCTTTAACACATTTTTAGCAGTTTCAACTGCTTTAAGCATTGTTCACAGTAGACATGTAAAATTACAGGCAAGAAAAAGCAGGCCATTTTACAAAAAAAAAAAACAAAACAAAACAAAACAAAAACAAAACAAAACAAAACAAAAAAAACACCAAAAAAACCCGAGCCTTGGCCAAGAGATTTGTCACTTGAAACTCAAATACATCCAGAGACTACAGGCTTCCTGCTACTCTGGTCCAGCTTCCATCTCAAGCTCCTGAAATTCACCAAGATACTGCCCTCTGCCATTCCAACCAAAAGCAGATGCGTTACCAGCTGATATCAATCACAAGATAAAACACTCAGCAAATTGGAATTTTATTGCTGTCCTATCAACCTAAAAAAAACCAAAACAGCCCATCATTACCAGAATTTTTTTAAGTTATTCATGAATCTGTCAATATGGCCTGATGACTCCTTACTTCTATTTTACTTCCCATATTTCAAAATCGGCGCACTCTCTGAATAAATCCTAACTCTTATAAATTCTGTAATCGCCTGTCTTAATTAGACACTCATCATGTTTCATTCCTATCCCCTTTATCCATCTACTTTGACAGCCATTAAAAAAAAATAAAAAAATAAAGTGAAGGAGAACAAGTATGCCAGCCATTAGGAAACATAACTCTGTTATGTTTTGATTCTTGGAAGAGAGAGACTCAGACACTGTACCAATAAACTGTTGCAACTGGATTTTGCATTCACTGATATGAGCATTTATTATAGT